AAGCCCGGCGACTATACGCGTATGTATTATAAAATTAACTTCAAATAATTTCTCATAGGCCTATAATATTTTAGGGTGTTCTATTTTACTATAGACTATGAATCACCATGCAAAGTTTCATCAAAATCGCAGAAGAGTAAACCTGAGATTCTCCTTGTTAGAGAAATCCGGTTCGAGAAATCATTTAGCTTCTCTAGTATATCCGCCACAGTTCTACGTTTCGAAGAGGCAACATCTCTGAAAGTCTCAACTCCTCTTTGCGTTATTACCAGGCTATGTAAATTATAATAAATCGCGAAATATCCATATTTTCATTCAAGTATTTTACGGTTGCCGAGGAATATTACGATTCGCGGTTTACAACAGCACCTAGAAGTGCGGATAGAGAAGTGCTTGGGCTCAGAGCCATTTAAAAATCAGTTAATTATTCAGCGAATATGAAAGGAACTAGTGGTGTATGTAAAAAGACCTTACTAGATAAACTAGATTAACCTTTAAATCCAAGAAAATATATAGAGAAATAATGAAGCTACTTTTATCTATTTTGAAAATGTAGCGGAAGTACGAGTTTTTTTTATATAAAACAGTGCATTATGCAACGAATTTAAACAACGATGATAAAAATTGTTCGATACACTTAATATCACAGCATAAAAATTGAAATTCTTGATAGATTTTTTTTGTTATTTTAAAATTTGTAATCAAGTATATTTTAGTATAAAATTCATATACATATATTAGTACGGAATAATAAATAAGAGCAAATATTATTTCAAAAACTTCAATCTTTAAATACATTATTATGCGCATTTCTGGCCCTGTAATTCCGAAAAACTGCACTTAATCATTTACTGACTATCTACCTAAAAACAAACATAATTTATTTGTTTATAAATTAATCATTGCCTATAAAACCTAATGTTCGTTATTAGGCAAAATTATTAGTATCCTTATATTCTTACAATGATAGAAATGAGAAACTGGATTGCTAACTTTCGTGGCACCCTACTCTAAATATCGGGTTTTATAATCATCTGCGCCCTTCGCTGGCCAAACAAAATTACCGTAAATTTAAATACTCATGTGCAGTAAAGTAAAACTTTATCTGACTGCGTTCGTACATATATTTAAACAAAACGATTCAACTGAAGAGTGAATAAAAAACCGGTTAAGCTCGGCGTATAATGTTGAGATCACCGAGTCACTTCCATAACGCCGCACTTTATATTATACACTCATTCCATGAAAAGTACGCGAGTAGTAGATGTATAGCCGACAAATTTCCCCAGTATGAGAGATATTCATAGATTTACAAATTCACAATCTGCTACAACCAGGAAACATTGTTTTGCGTTGACCATGTACCCTAACTACTATAAAAATACGCAAATGCAAATCAATACTTATCCACTTATCCCCAATTAAAGATGCATTGTGCCTTTCGAAGAATTGGGTAATTTGATTTTATACATTTTTTTTTTTTTTAAATTATCAGAGCCAAATATTTTCTTCATTGGAACTCTGAAAACGGCTGGACCTGCCTTTCCAAAGTTTATTTCGTCAATACAAGTAGAATGTTCTCTCGTTCTCTCAAAAATAAATTATCAGTTTTGGCACTTTTTGCCCCGTGTCTTTGAAAAAGTTGTACCTGTCTTCTCTGCCAAAAACAAATCAGCACATGTTCCCATGGATAAGAATTGAACGCACACACAGCGAATGCGACTCATTTGAGATAAGTATAATTTTAGTATGAGAATTATAACATTCTAGATCCTCCCCCCACGAAATAATGTCTATGGGCGGTTTCCGTGGGGACCAGGGGCAAGGGCGAAGAAGGGGTTTTAGTCGGCATTATATTCAGGCGGTACTGAATCCGACATACCCAAACAAAAGACCAGCCTGGGAAGCATAAATGCATAATTTCATAACAATTTTCTCCTAAACCTACGGAGACTTGTTATTTTTCAGTGTATAGAAGAAAAAGTTTAATTTACCGCTCGACACGTGGGTGCTCTTGGCCTCCAATAATAAAAATACTGTATTATACACACACCATACACACACTAAATATTAAAAGAAGACTTATAAGATTATTTTCGTGATCTTCAGATAATAGCGTTTGTATTTTCAAGATTAATAAAAAAAAAAATATGCAAAATTTATAGCATCGTAAAAAATATGTATGTATTACTTTTATTTACTTGAAACTGACAATGTAATGTCCGACCAAATTGAGCATTACATGTAACATAATTCAAAACCACTAAAATCACTGCAATCAACAATTTCTTTCCTACTCGAATGCGAACAAGGACGTTTATAGATATAATGTTATAGGATATCAATTAGATAGAAGCCAAACAAATTGGTAGAAATAAACAACCGATATATCGAATTTTTCGTATGAAAACAATGAAGATAACCACACAGGATCGTTTGTACAAGTCATGGATGACGAGCATACTCTCCCAAAGCAAATCTGTCTACTTGTAATAAACCAGTCTAGCAAGCCGGATTATACGTGAAACCATTGCAATCAAAACGCGATATTTGCACCAGAGGTTTCTCGTCTCATAATGAATACTTGAACATTAGGAAAAATCATTACTTGTAGTGATTGTAGGGTCTGGTTAAAATATTTATAACAGTATATGTGTAAGCGTTCATGGGTAAATTAATTGCTGAAAAACTCCAAATTGCAAGTGACCACTATGACATGGTTTACTTTACTGCTATTTTATTCACATACAAAACTTGGTAAACTAATATGCTAATCTGATTTAATTTTTTTTATTATACTATTTCACATAACAATCATGTGAATAACTAAATGTGTAAATAAATGCACTAGACAGAAGTTGTACTAACAAATAGAGAAAATATGGACAAAATGACAGTGGCTTTTTTTTAAAATCGGTCAGATGTAGAGCGTCATTGTCACAGTCTTGTAGCAGTAATCAGTTCAAACGTATTTCGCAAGCATTACAAGGACAAGAAAATAAATTAAAACCTATGAAAGGTGATTGGACTGTCTTCTACTTCCTACTTCTAATTGCAAAAAAACAGAATTAACGAACCACTAGTAAAAAGAAAAGTTTAGTATTTGTTGCAAAACCCTCTTTTTCCGTTCTGAGCCCGGCGAAGATTAGTTAGAATGTATGACTTGTTGACTCCTTTCTTAAAAAATAGCATCTCAGCATGTCCTTATCCTTTATGCCACTTTGTCAGTACGATATGGACAAAATAGTTTTTGTAGTAGGTTACATTTTTCACTAGTAAATATGTCATTATAGTTCTACTTAATTAAAACAATATTTTATTGGCAGTCGATAACCGTACTTCCCCTATATAGAAGCTCAGATAGAGACGTAATAAAGCGGATAAAAATTTAAAAAAATGCTTTTATATTAATAATTATATCATACGTGATACATATATATAATACACATCTTGGCTACAAATCGAAACAGTTTAGAAATTTCAAGGCTTTTGCAAAACGAGACATAGATAACATTGTATATTCGCGCAACCTATGCTGTCGCGCTCGCGCAATATATTGTCGCAAAAAACAATAATTTATTCAAATGATTAAAAAATATGAAAATTAGCAAAATGTGTAAAGACGTAAAACGATTTCTGACAAACTATCTAGTATTAAAATTATGTCGTGTTATATATTCAAGAATTTACACATACGCATTTATTTAGCCGATGGCTTTTTGGACCCCTTCGCTCTGATGATACGTGGTGATATTTATAACCACCCCCCCTTACCCAGCAAACACCACCTACTTTTGATACCTTAGTAATATTTCGTGATTTTTTGCCAACCCCACCCCCTTTCTCCCTTTAAGCTGATTGTCCTAAAAGTTGATGTAGGCTTATATTGCCAGAGAACCATATGAATCATGTATATTTATTGAAAAAGTGTATACGAACAACCAAATAAAAGTCGAGAGAAATGTATATGCATATCCAATTACAATCTATTATATAAGAAATAATGGCATTAATAAATAGCAATAATAAAAAGATGATTATCAAATGGTATCAAGATCTTAAAACAAAACACCAATTGTGTGCGTTAGTGCATATATCACAACATCTGCTTCATTCCATGTAATATTTCATATGAAACAGCTTAAACAAAAATAAATAGGCTATTCTTAATGATGAATCGAAAACATGCATTGTTTCAGCCTATGATGATGAATGTGAATATGAATTAATGTTATGTATTTATTAAAAGCCCGACCTTTTGACGAGTTCACATGTCACTAAACTTATTTATAAGAAGTGGACCAAAAATAGGTACGACCACATGATCCGTATAATACACAGAGATTAATACGTTCAAAACCAAAAACACCAAACACAAATGTCGGTACATATGATTATATGTACCGACAAAGATATTTATTTACTAGAACTAAATGTGGTAAAGCAGCAAATGTCATTATCGATATAATGCTTCATTATTTTTATATTTCCATTTAATAGTGTTGTGTTTGGTATAAAAAGTCAATCTATGATATTTACTGCAAGCTTAAACATCCGATCAAATGGTTCTCTTAATAAGGTTAATGTTTTTTAATCCTAATATCGTCTGTAGACAAATAGCAATTATCGGTTACAAAATATGTAACAGTACATTGATAGACTTCCAACGTTATTGTGTAAGATTTGCTATTTTCATCTGTGTAGTGTAGAAGTGTAGTGTTCATGGCCGAAAGTTATGATATTATTTGGAGAAACTGTCCGAGAGCTGCGGTGTCACTGCGCTTCATCGGCTAATAGTACATGTACATGTACATACACTACTACGTCGCGGTTTCGGAGAGGAGAGATAAAGGCAACGTACGAACTACGAACACGGACAACAGACAACAGACAACAGACCACCACACAAATACGAAACCTTGATAACGCCAAACACGTGTGTTATTTTATTTTGATGCGCGCTGTACGCTTGATACTGCGAGCGCGTTATCAAATCCTACCTGTTTGCGTTTGTGTCCGTTGACAACTGCTGCATTGTTGACATCCGACGATGGCGTTTCGTACTGCTCCTGCAAAAAGTCGAGTAATTTTTCCAATTTCTCTCGATCCTCCTGATCTTCGGCCACCAGCAAATACGCCCGCCAATTGTTAGAATCAAATCCCCAATGACATGTACGGTTTTCCAAGTCCCTGTGTGCGTGACACACAAACCTCTGCGGTGAAAATAAACAACGACATTCCGTGCATTCTATACAACCCGCTTCCTTGGTGGTATAGAGTTCCGGTCTGCAGATACCCCGGGCTTTTCCAAAACATTCGTGATAAACGCGGAACGAAAACATATTCTCAAGAGAACGACTTGAAGGCGCCCTGACCGCCGTCCGGTGAAGCAAAGCGCTGCAAAGTCGTTCGGCGTCAGTTTTCGTTATTAGGCCACACGAAGGCGCGTTTTTTGGTAAAAGGCCGGTCACTTTCAACTCGCTCAACTGCTCAGGTGTACACCTAGAGCAGTAAATCTGTAGTTCATCACATATCCGATTTATCTGATCCAAACTGAAATCTGTCAAAACTCTCGTAAGAATCTGAGGTAAACACAGACGTTTCTCGCCGCCCACGCTGAAGCAAGAGATCGATTCGCCTTCTAAAATCGTTTCGGAACGAACGCCACGGCCAGTGTCCGGTGCCGATAGAATCGGCTGTTGCTGGACGGGCGCAGGAAACAGGACGACAGGTTCCTCTTTGCATTCGGAAGTCGGCGACGCCAGCTCTTTCTTTGGCACGATCAACGACAGACCAGGTCCTTGTAGACTCCTCGTCGCGCTGTGCTGATACGTTTGCAACACAGATTTCAGATGAGGAGGCACCAACTCCATCTCTAACATTCTGACCTTGGGGCACGGAGCTGACCGGTACTTTACACAGAATACACACACATTTGTTTATGTTCAACAACAAAAACTACAGTAATTCACATATCACTGTTTTCACACTAATTTTACAATCACTGATCACGTTTCGATACTTTAGCTCTCTCGCGCAATGACATCGTTCGCACTCGTGCCTTCATCGCGATATTCGTAACCGTCACGATAGCACCTCGACGAAATAATAAAAATCGCTATCGTCCTCGCGCGCTAACTTAACACATACGACATACACCGACCGACCTTCTCCGTCGAACTGACTAAACGTGTCTGAATACTCATTCGGCCCGGCCTGTGCGGCGAGCCACGGTACGCTGTTTTCGAGCTGCGCGTATTTCCCCCCACTGTCTCGGATCGTTCGCAAACACGCATCAGTCTAAGCCGTCATATCTCAGGAACCGCGAGGTCTGCGTGCATGATTTCTAAAATAATCGAATAATGAAATCTTCGACTTGTTGGATGCATTTTCCGCATGTACGTACCCCGATGAGAAGCCGAGTTACGAGCGATTTTTCAAATCGGGCGACCGCATACCGGAACACGCTGCGTCGTGCGCAACGCAGTCATAGCAGTGCAAACCGAGAGCCCGGCTACTGGAAAGTCTGGCACCGCACATCTCGCTCGCCTCTCGCCCTTGAACGCACAGAGAGTGCCGGCTAGAGCGCGGCCGTTTGTGAGCGAGCGAGAAAGGTTTGCCACGTGACCGACCTTCCCGTCAAAATAGTCATCAGTGTCTATCCAGCCGCGCGCGGTGTGTGCAGCGTTAAATGCACGCACACAGACCTCGAGCGATACAAAACATACAGAGTACATTACATACACAACACGCTAGAAAACGTATGGCCGCTCTGCCTTCTTGTTTACAAAATGCATCGTGGAACGCTCAACCGAGGTCGACGTACGCGCCAGACGCACTAGGGACGTTTAGAAAAGCACCGTTCCGCGCTCGATCTCTTGCTTCGCGGACTCGCTTTATAGTAGTACACAACACATATCGAATATTGCGTTCGCGGAAAAGATCGCGTTCGACTTTCGATGGTCGAACGATGACGTCAAAAAACCTTTGCCCATTCTGAGCTCTGCAGCAAAGCAAAGCAACACGTGCATCTTCCGTCTAATAAATGCGGACAGTTTGTTTATCCATTTCTATTCTGAAAATTTTCTTTATAGCATTTCGAACGCAGTTCCTTCATACCATATTCTAATATATAATTTATAATTTTATTATATAATTGTTTACACAATTAGCCAACATCAATCTGGGTACCTATTACTTGTATTATTTCTAATATAATAATGTATTGTTACTAATGTAAAATATTAATATGTATGTAGTAATGTCACTAATATCGCTACTAGATGTCGACTATTTTGAAAACGACACGAATGGATTTCGAATCAGACGTAGCACAAACAATTTTAAGATGGAACTTATTGATGCCTACTGATTTACATATATGTAAAATAATATGCATAAATGTATAAATGAATACGAGTCTGATGAATATATTTCTATTGGCAGTAAACGTGTAACCATGAACTGAGAAGCATTGTCATGCAGATTCGTTACGATTAAAATAAATGTTAAACATTAAAGTAGCGTAAATCCATAAATCATATGACTACGATTATTCTTGGCTCGGAAACTGAAGCAAAATGATACATAATTAATGTAAAGTATTTCTTCTCAAACGTTTTAAAGTTAGGTCCGCGAGGGCCGATCAGGGAAAAATAGTGTAATAGAAATCCCATTGCTATTTCATACCGAAATGGGATATATTCTATACGATGTTTAAAAGTAGAGGGAAAAAGATGTATACCTTAATATAATTCTTTATAAGATGTATTGTTAATTTTAAGTTAAAAAGGACCAACTGAACCTTTATCTTGGCAAAGGCGTAAACAATAAAAATAGTAAATAGCAAATAAAACAGTAAATTAAACTGAAAAAAGCAAAATTACCAGGACCAAGTTAAATATATAACTTTCTAACTCCTTGACAAAATACCAGATCAACATTATATACATTGCTTTAAATTTATATTTTGCATTGGTTGAATAATGTAGCTATTATTTAGTTAATCCCCTTCAAGATTAAAAATAAGTCATTAAACCGTCATTAGACATTTCACTCAATGCAGATATATTGCAGCAACGTTTCGAAAGTTACTTGATATCATATTTGAAACCTATAATCTGATAGAACGACTGCTTGATATCCAGCTGATCAATGTGGCCCGGAACCAACACTTGCTAATCTACGTTCTTACCACGGTCCATAGCCAAGCTTAATATAAATAATGATAAAACAAAATTTATTTTCAGTCAGCAGATCGTACAGCTAACAATATTACTTCGTTGATCATATATAGTAGGTTCAGCATAATACTTTTCTTCGGTATCAAAAATTTTCGGATTTACATCATAAAAATTATCTAAAATATGTGTTCTCAGTTTATTATGACAACTCTTATCCTCACAGTTCCTGTGTGTGTCCTATTCTCGAGATTTGCATCGCCATAATAAAAATATTTCAGATTCAGAAAAAGAAACAGATACGCATAATTTTCAGAATCAAATGATGTGAATGAGTTTGAAGTTTAAACATTTATTATTATCGATTATGACTTGTTTATAAATAAATAAATAAACACATTCATATCCTTAATATTTAAAGAATTTTAATCGTTCTTTCGTTTTGTAATGTAAATTTAGGGTAAAAATATTTAGTTACTGTGCGTAATTAATTTTTAAATCTAACTCGCTGAATATACAGACAAGGATTCGACATAAACAAATTATACCGCATATTAATAAAATAAAATAGATTGATCTAATAATTACTAATATTTCCTAACTAATTTCGCTTAAAGGTAATCGTAGCGACCGGTTTTAACACTAATATAAAGAAGAAAATAAAATAAATTTAATTGTAGTACACGATATGACGAGCTACACATATGTGAAAAAATATAAAAACTTACCTAGTTTTTGAACTGAACGTTTTGGTAACTGCATTACAGGAAAATAAGTTCAACAGCTCTCCCTGTAAAAAAATAGGTGTTATGTACATGAATTACATATACATAAGCACAAAAATAAGGAATATATTTAATGCACAACTTCCTTGGATGAATATCCACCTATCCTAACATACGCAGATCTACCTAGTTATGAAATGCCAGGTATCTAAAGTTACAAGCGATTAAGAATTCTCGTAATAATTATTTTTTGGGCAAATTTCGAAGAACAAAAACCGTAGACAAAAAATATTTCACAAGAAATAGTCATCATCGCCGTTAAGTATAAACATTCATCTGACAATTAACAGAAATAGATCACAACAAGTAAATACAATTAAAAAATGAATATTTCAAATAAATTATATAAAATTAGAAACTTTCTAGTTTTTACCGCTACGTCGAGATAATGTTTGATAGTTTAAATTTCTAGAAATTTAAAGTAATTATTGCAACAATCTTCACTATAACTTTTAAAGAAACAAAAATGCAATGTTCAACGCACGTTAGTGTCAATCAACATGTAAGTGTACATATTCACGCGAAAATAAATCTTCAGTACATATACAGAAACCAAAGAACAAATTTGTGCATATTGTACAAGTTTTAGTTAAACGCTTACAAAATAATGTACATATCTCTTCGAAATATATGAAATTACTCAAACAATAAGCAATTTAACAAAGGGACTAGATCATTCTACTAATGCAGAAAATATGAAAGTTACTTACACGGACTTACATACACCTATGAGTCTCAACGTCAGATAACTTCTGAGATGAATTGCATCATAATATTTTTTGAAAATTAAAAGTTCCCGTTTACTTGAAATAACCCGAGCAGAAAGGCACAAACGCGTGGATAAGTAGAATCGCTCGATTTCTTTACATTTCTTTACATTTACTTAGATTATCTAGTCATTCAATACTTCTCAAAATTTTAATTATCTCAACAATAATAGCATTAAAAGAACGTCGAAAGTTTCTGATTAAACCTAAATAAACCTAAACTAAACCTACACTAAACCTAATTTCATTCGCACAACAAAAAAATTTTATCATAATTTACCTCAAAACAATTAAATTCTATTTTTTAAAATGCAACATCCGTTTTTAGCTAAATAAATATACCTCTAGTTGATTGCTTATGTATAATGTTAAAAGTACACAAGTACGCATACAAAAACAGATTACTGTTATCGTATACGTACCTTTAATCATTCTTGAATGTAACCATCAAATGTATTCTGCAAAGAAGATCTCTCCAACTCTATCCAAATCTGCAAAAAAAATAATTTTCCAAAAATTGAAATCTTAGAAATTTAAAAGTTGCTGACTTGAATTAGCGGTGCTTCACTATGCATTGATTGATTAGCACTATGTTAAACAGTTTTAAATAACAAAAATATAACGTTTACAAAACATTTGATAACAGTAAATTAAACTTCATTCCATAAATTTTCAATTTTTATACTTAAATATACCATCTGCCCAAAATTCGTTATCGGCAAAATAAATATCGATGATTCAAGAATAAACAGATATATCAGCTCTATTTCGGATAAATACTCATATGCATACATGAAAATATAATTGCAAATAAATGTAAAAAATTGATCATTAAATCGATTGTAGAAAGCTGTGGGTAAAAAATAAAAGCTATAAAAATGCACTTGAAAAATTATGAATTTTGCATTCGGCTGTGTAAGTCTAACATATCACTCTACTATATTATATTCTAGTTTGTTCATGATACTCAACCGCAATTTTTAAGACACACGTATTCTCTTAAAATTGCTCAAAAAACTAATAGAAATTTACAAGCGGGAAAAACGTGAAAGTCTTTTTCTTTAATAATTATTTGCGAATAAATGTCATGGCCGATCTTTACTAAAAATTAATCAGCACGATGCCCAACTGATAGCTTTTGAACAATTCAGAATCGGTTCAATATTTTTTTTATTTATTTCATTACAAATTCACTTCTCCATGATGTACGTTTTCGATCAAAAGTGACGCCTGGTTGCTGGTAGGTAGCCATTTCTTTATAATATATCCTCCGTCCACGTTTTCTGAACCAACTTTGAAAAAATAAATATTAGTTGGGAATCGTGCTGATTTCTTTCTGGTAAAGATACGTTAGTAACAATGAGAATAATGATTCTAAAAGATTGAGATAATAACAATATTAAAATTTGTATTATTAGCTCATTGAAAGGTTTGTAAAAATCATATCGCTTCGTGTTAACAAATTTAATGAAGACCATTTTGTCAGTCTTTGAATATTAACAGCCACATGCCAACTAAAAATTATAACAAATTAGAAAATCGTCATAACAAAGATATAGAATTTTAATTTTAAATACGTACCTCAATTATGCAAAAAGTTCCCAAAATTGTCGTACTTCACCAAACGTCACCAAAATTTGCGAAGAAAGGAAGAAAATCTGGTGTCTCATCTGCAAAAAAAAATCGGGGCGTTATGTACGGATGCTTATAAATATACATATGGATATACAATAAAGTTTTAAGAA